TGCTTCATCAGTTCATACTGAAGAAGAAAACACCCCTTCATTCAGGTTTTGTTGGAAATAAGAGTAATGCAACTGAGTTTAACTCTTGTAAATGGTCACTGACTACCAAAATGGTGAAGCATTTCCCTAAAAATATTAAAACTATCCAAAGTGAAACAACGAGTAGAAATCTCTTGGCCTTATGCCCATCCTTTTGAGAATGGAAAGTCTGATCCATTCCACAATAATTTGAATTCCAACTGAACAGCCTGCTACCATGGCTCTTAAGAGTTTACTGGATGCTGAATGTCATCTCCCAGGAAAACTTGTTAGCTTTAATAATTTAATTTTTCAAGAAACAGTCCAGGGGACCAACACTTAAACCAAAGAACCTCTAGTAAACAGAACAATGAAAATTAATTAATTAGCCTCCTTATAGTGCTTTGATAGATGCATTGAATAAATCTGAACTGATTTATCAGTCAGGTGCCTTTGTGTGGTAGGTGTTAGAATTATCTGTCATTAAACTTATGCTACTAATGAAGGTGCTTGAGTAGAAAAGTTCAATGGTCCCAAGGTCACATCTGAAGTTGGCATCACAGCTCAGGAATTTACTTTCAGTCATTGGAAATAATTTCTTAAAAAAACATAAAGGAATTCATGAGGTAAAGATCATGACCTGGAAAGGCACCATAATTTCTCTAACCTCAGTTTCAGAAGGCAGAAAAAAAATTGAGAAACGGCTGTGAAAAACATTGCCAGGGAAAGAGTTACCCATACAAGCCTGAACTGATACCATCTAAATTCTGTTTTATTATATTATTATGATTTACCCCCAGAATCTGTCTGACAATTTGATTTATTTTGTATGATTTACATTATAGTTAAGTGACACCTCACTCTGTGTTTCCAACAAAACCCATAGACAAATCTAGTTGTCAGTGAATGTCTCGAAAAATGACAATCCATCTTTGTTGTTATTAATGTTATGGCAAGAGGTAGGGAAGGGAAATTATTATATAATGAAAATGGCTTTTGAGAGAAGATTTAAATATTCTGCAATATGGACTATAAAAGAAACTTAACCTCCTTAAGGCTCAAGCTGACAAAATGTATTTTTAAAAATGTATTGGCTATGCAGAGAAAATTCTGCCATTTCTATTCAACAAATATCAAGAAGTGCAATTTTTTTTCCCCTCAGGATGGAAAAATGCAGGTTTCACGTAAAGAAATATTAAAACATGTATTATTTTTTCCTGACCTTTTGACAGGCTGTCTATTGAGCTTGGTAGGACATCCAAGAAATTCAGATTTCAAAATTAATGATTAATACTACAGACTTTTCACAGTACTGAAGCGGCAGTGCCAAATTCCTCTACCATGAGCAAGTGCAACTCCACGCCTTTCAGCAGAGCTGTGTTTGCATATCTTAGCAAGCAGTTCTGGCCCCGTGCCTGGGAAAGCATCTTACATTTCATAGTCACTTGATTATGGCTCATCTTTAAACCACACTTTACTATTTGCAAGATACTTGACCCACAAAACCAGAGAAGTCCATCTGCTAAGATTCCATTGTGCATCAGTAAGTAAAAATGATGAAACTACTTGAAGTGCAAAAATCCAGTATAAAAGGGACATAAATATATTCCAAATACGTGTTTGCTTCTGCAGACTGATGAACTTGAAATTCGGGGTTAAAAATTTCACTTTGCACTAGAAATTTGTTTTTCAAGATGCTTTTTACCTGAACCAGAAATAGTTCTTACTACTAAAAGGGCAAGATCCACCTAAAGGAACCCATCCTTGGAAAAAAGTAAGAATGCACCCACAAGCCAGCACCAGCTGTCACAGATATATAGAATTTAATTAAGAATGTGCTTCTAATAGTCTGGAACGGCCTAAATGGAATAAAAATATTAGGTATTAGCCCGAGACATCTATTGAAACCAACATTGTTGCTTTTTGGTGGGGTACAACTTAACCACATGTCAAAAATCATGAACCAACCTCCAGTTTGGTCTGAAAGACAAATCTAATGTAATTTTAGGCTTGTAAAACCAAGACTAAATAATTGAAACTGTACATTTTTTCGGTTTCATAGAATCACAGAATGCCCTGGGTTGGAGGGGACTTTTCAGTCCATCCTGTGCCACCCCCTGTCATGGGCAGGGACACCTTCCACTATCCCACATTGCTCCAAGCCCCATCCAGCCTGGCCTTGGACATTTCCAGGGATGGGGCAGCTTTTCTGGGGGCATCAGGGTCTCACCATGCTCACAGTAAAGAATCTCCCCCTAAGAATAAACCTAAATTCTCCCTCTGACAGTTTAACAGCATTACAGCTCTTTCTTCTTCCCATTAAAGTTGTGGGTTTTTCTGGCAGGGAGTTTTTGGCTTTTTTTTTTAACTACACCCCTAAAAGGCATTTTTCCTCCTTTTATGCCATTACCTCTTATAATATTTTTAAAATATCTACTTAGCTATTTTTAACTTTTTTAATAATGCTATCAGACCTGTCATTGCAACACTTTTCTGCAAATGTGTGGAGGATGTGACTGCTATAACACTAACCCCACATATGTTCACTGCATATAAGCCTACAACTCCACTGCCACTATAATATAACTATGAACAAACATTGTGGAGGGGGTTTTCCATTTGCTTGGGGTTTATTTTCCCTCTCTTTACACACCTACCAGCTATTTCCTTTTTCATTGCCACAGCTCCAGTCACAAGGAGGCAGCAATAAATCTTTGCATACACACAGGGGCTGGGAGGGAAGGTTGCTGACAGCCCTGTGATCCTCTTGCAGACAACAGCAATAAAAAATTACTGGATTCAGCATTGTACAGAAATTTTAGACCCCCCAAGACCTTCCTTTAGGCACCTATAAGTTAAGTACTATAGCAAACACCTGATTTCCAGAGCAGAATGAGCTACCTTGACTCCCTGTTTGGTACATGGCAAGATGAGATGCTCTAGAACATTTGAAAACACACATATACTGTAAAAAAAAACATCCAGAGACTTATTTTATAAGGGAAAAATCCAGATTTAGTCAATATTAACCAAGAAACCCTTACTCTTTGCCTCAGCTCGGGCTCTACAGAATTAGGATGAGTCCTGTTTTAACAGAAGGCATTCAGATGTGTAGCTCAGTACCTGTCAGATCAGTAGTTCCCTAATTGCATTTCCCTTTGCTAAACAGCACATTGTGTGACAAGAAAATGTGTTGCAAAGGGGCTACAAAGACTTCAAAACATTCTTAGTGCAGAAAAATGCCACACAATGTTATGGAGCAAATCACTGAATTATATTTTTTTTTTAAAAAAAGCACTTTTCATAGTTCTTGGCCTGTTGGAGGGCAAACCAAAATGAACATTATCATAATTTTATTAGATGTCCATTCCATGAGCATTCAAGGTTTCAGTCATTTTATTTTGTACTCCTCATGGCAGAATAAAGCTATTTCAATATCATCCCTGAAGACTTGTAATTATCACTGGTTGAATTTACAGTGTGTCTCTTCAGAAAGAGAAGGTACTATAAATATATATATATATATATATTTATATATGAACTACAGAATTTTCAAGACCATATATGTTCTTAAGGCTGTGGGTCCTTTTCCCTATTTCAGTTCAGACTGACTAATAATTAAGTCTAGAGCAGTCCTTGGCCAGGACCAGATTGTGAAGCACTGAGTTGGCTTTTTACTTAATAGACATTCAGCTCAATTGTACTGTTAGTGAAGCTGAACTGAAATTTAATTCTTGTTGCTCATGTCTTTTGACAAACTGCTGCTAACACCATTTCTAACATGCTCAATTGCTTTAATGAACCACTAAAACACAGCACATTCCTCTGTCCATCAACCAAACATTTCCGGGGCCATCACCGGTGTAAAGTTGACCAAAACTCCTGAAACAACACCTCTAACATTTCTCCCAGTCTGTAACTTTTCCTGCCTCTCCTGGAGGTGCCAGATGGAAATCTGGCTGTGTCAATAAGGTCACTTACTGTTGGAACCCAGGACATCCCTCTGGCTGTCCTGGATGGCTCAAGCCCCTGCCAGGGGGCTCAGACACCTTGGCACAGAGCCCAAGACCCCTGTGCTTTTGGTTTTGACCCATAGAAAAAAATTACCAACCTTATATGAAGAATTGCAAGCCACAAAAGTGTAAATAGAATGATAGTTAGTTTGTCACAAGGTGAAAAGTAGAATTTTGGAGTTTTTAGAATGGGAGCTCGAAGCTCCAAGATAAAGGAATTTGGGTGTGTTTTGTCCTTCTTTCTCCATCTTCCTAGCCTCCATCTTCTAAGTGATGGTGGCATTTTTAGATTAAAGTAGAACACACTGTCTAACATAAGTGATAGGTATTGAGAAATTATTGTAAATAATACACACGTAGTTTTTAGTATAAAAAATAGCACCGCCTCTGAAGGCAGTCAAGAGTACCTCAACCCAACCTTCCAGACAAGCCTCGTCAGGTCAGAGAAAAAATGTTATAGGTAACAGAAAAATAAACAACCTTGAATGTAGCCATGATGTTTTCTGAAAAATCCCTTTGCTAGGATTTTTTCTCCTGAGAAGCCTCAGAGGAAAAGAAGAACAATAATTATGCAACAGGTGCATCTTTGATTGATTGGTCCATGTTGGTTGTTTCTAATTAATGGCCAATCGCAGTCAGCTGGCTTGGACTCTCTGAGAGTCACGAGCTTTTGTTATCATTCTTTTCTATTCCTTTCAAGCCTTCTGATGAAATCCTTTCATGTATTCTTTTAGTATAGTTTTAATATAATATAAATATATAATAATAAAATAATAAATCGGCCTTCTGAACCATGGAGTCAAGATTCTCGTCTCTTCCCTCGCTCTGGGACTCCTGTGAACACCACCACACTTGAAAACCAAAACAAAAAAAAATCCTAACTCCTTCTTTGCTTGCCAGGCTGGGAAAAAAAAAACTCTCTGACACATCTCAAGGTCAGCCAAAAGCACAAAGACACCAAGAGCTTACCTCCACCAACTTGTTGGCGTGTTCACGGAAGACCTGAGCGTATTCCTTCACCTCCTTCTCGTTGCCGCTTTTGGCGGCCTCGATGAGAACCAGCAGAGGGACGTTGGTCTCCAGGAACGAGTCTGAGATGTGATCCATCACTGCCTTCCGGAGCTGGGACAAAGGACAGCAGAGCAGGAAATAAAGGACATTTATCAGCACACATTCCCCCTGTTCATGTTGCAGCACCGATGCGTTGGGTCTTGTGGCGTTATGTGGGAATTTGGTTTTTTTGCTTTCTTTTCTCCAATATTTGCAGCAAGCAAAATTAAAAACTTGAGGGCCCAGGCTCTGCAAAGCCCTCCTGGGATTTGTGCTGACATACACCTAATCCTACTGGCCTGAATGGATCTGTACAGAATGATGGTGATAACTCATGTAAGACACAGCAAATTGATGAGAATTGAAAGCTCCACACTACTTGAAAAAACAGTTCAGCTGACTAAAAGGCAAATATGGATTAAGGAGCTTAACTCCAAGCAACCATTAAAAAATATTAGCCTGGATATTTCTAAGCCTTCTCTAATTCCTCCAGTGAATAGTATTCCATGCAATAATTAATATTTTGTGAAGCAGATGCCTTGTGCTTTGTATTCCCTTTTGAATAGCTCCAAGAAGTATAAACAGAAAACCTTTTTACCATTTTCCAGGCAGATTAGAAAACATTCCAATTCATTCTAAAGGAAAAAAAAAACAAACACCTTACAAGTTACTGAAGATTTAACACCTGTTAGTCTATATAAACATCTATTTGAAACAGTATTACTGTAAGAATGATGTCACTAACCTCTTTTCCACCTTGCTAATGACCACTAATTAATGTCAAACTTCTCCAAAATTTGAAAGACAGCCAGAAAAATGACTGAAATCTTAAATAATTCTTCCTGGAAGCGTAATTGCTCTGTGGGACTGTGGATCAGAAACATCTTGATTATGTTTTCTCCAGCTTTTGGGTTGTTAAGAATGAAAAACTGTGGACTCAAGTTAGGAGCTATTCAGCCTGGAGCCTTGGGTACCCATTAGTCTCCTTAAATCATGCATTTTTAGTTAGATGAAGCACCCAGAGAGGTAATTTTCTCTATTCTGCAGCCCAGACAAGAAAGCTTTAGCTAGACAAGGTGCCATCAAAACACCCAATCACACTGAAAACTGGCCTATTGTCAGACATTGCAAATACACAATCCAAGATGCATTTGCTGTTTGATGGCAGCAATTCTCAGCTCTATTTGAATAAGGAGAAAGCTAACTTTGAATATTTTCCTTCATTCCCTGAGTGGTGCAGCAAAAACAAGCAAAGCAGAATAGCATATATGTGCTTGTAGGAGGTATTCATTTTATTTCCATCACAACGGAAGCAGTCAATGTATTAAGCAGTTCTCAATTCTCCTTAAAAATTAATTCTCCTCAGATTCAACCTGGAAAGTTTTGGTTTTTTTCCACTTTCAAAATGATTAAAGGCACTCAGAATAGCTAACTCAGTAACACATACAAACAGGGGGAGGAAAGAAGACAAAAAGAAGAAAAGAATCATCTATCAGAGACCTGCCAACAGTTTGGAAGCTGGTGTGTGTTTGCTACCACCTATTACATTTCCATCTTGTACTCTTTATTTTTTTCTCCCATCAATCTGCTGCTCTCCACTTGCTGACTCTTATTTTATTCTTACATTAAAAGCTCTTTCAGACCATGCTTTGGGTCTATTTGCACAGCATCTCACACAATGGGACCCCGATCCATGAATAGTTTTCATAGGTACCATCTCAATATAAATAACAATATTGTTCCAAATACATCAAAACATTGCAGGAGAAAGAAGAAATAATGTTCTAAGATGCTCAGTGTCAGAGAATAGTGCAGCAGCACAGCACCCTGCATGCTATGGTTGATAGATTTCCAGTCAGTATTTATAAAAATTTTTTAACTTAAGAATTCAGACACATGGTGGGATTCTTGGGGTTGCTCTGTGAAGGACAACCAGAAGTTGGACTCTGTGATCTTTGTGGGTCCCTTCCAACTCAGGATATTCTGTGATTCCCTATTAAATCAGTAGTTGCCCCTATAGCCAGCATTAAGGGAGAAATACTGCCAGAAAAGGTGCATCATAAATTTGCATAATTCTCCTCTGCAGACATCCATTTCCAGGGCTTGCTGGCAAACTCCAGATCAGATGCCTGATTTGTGTACCCACAGTTAGACTTTGATGCCCATTGTATCAAAAAAGGCCAAATGGTAGCATTTCCAAAGGAACACAGCAAGCTTTTAAAAATCCAATGTGGCTTCCAGCTCATTCTCAGTGAGAGATGCTTAAAAAATTCCACTTGCTCAAATTCAGTATGTGCCAGTGAAAACTACTGTCCACTGCACTAAAAACCTTACTTTAAATGCTAAATGAGCACCAACACTTTCCTGTTTGTGTCCTGCCATAAGGAGGGATTTGTTCCAAAGGCTGGTATTTATTCAATGAACAAGAATTCAATTTTTAATCCAAGGTAATGTGCTGTTATGGATCAGGTTGTAACAATATGCCCCATGGAATTGTAACAGCAGTCTCAGGATGCTCAAGTAAGCAGCATATTTTCATCACTGTTAAATATCTTCAGCCTACAACCACGTACCAGAAATCAATAAAAAGGACATCAAGAGCATCAGCTAACCAGCAATTTGGGGTTTACCATAGTAAATATACAGTAGAGCACTTTCTGAATCAAAAGGAATGGATAAAATGGATATCTGGTTTCTACTGGTAACTGTGTGTTGCACTCTGAGGTTCATAATTGCAGCAGCTGAAAAAAAAGAATCTGAATTCTGACTGTCACAGATTTAATAAATACAAAATTAATATATTCTATTTTTCTTCTGCTGTGTTAATCATAGATGTCAGAAGAATATTTCTGGCCCCTCTTGTAAACAGGCACTATAATTTCTTTAGGAATTTGTTATCTGAGTTTTAGGACGTCCTTGCATTGAAGTTGAAAGGTAGAGTTAACAGGTTTTATGTAAGCAGGAGACCACAAATTTTGCCATCCTTCACCACAAGCTGTAAAGAATACCTTGACAAAATCATTTGTTAAATGTGACAGCAGTAGGAAGGCAAGACATCCATGCAAGAGCTCAAATGGATACATGACAAGGTAATATAAATGGCACAAGACAAGACATTTAAAAGTACTGGCTCACCATTACCAGTCTATTTGATCCAATTAGGGCTATTCATCAAGGTAAATAACTACTGGGAAAGCAATCTTGTGTGTTCCTGTGCACGCTGCAACAAAGCCCAGTCTAAGTGATGGCTTGTGCACCCAGAGATTTCAGTTTCATGCAGGTAATGTCAGCTCAGAAGGGAATGGGAGAAGGCTGTGACTTGAATCTGAAAGCAGCAAAAGCCTGTCATGTTTTATTCCAAAACCAGCACCAGGGCTTTGCTCATGCACCTGTATTAACAAATGCCTCTGCAATGCCTTAATTTATGCTGAGTTCTGATGTAAATATTATGACACTCACTATTACTTGTAAGACAACGCTTTAGGTTTTTTCCCCCACAGGATTTTTAATTTAGAGATGAATTCAAAGCACAAATTCCACCACGTGAAACTTCATTTATTAGAGGAGGAAGCACATTAAATTAAGGTCTTGCTTAATTCATTTTGTCAGAAAGAAAACTTTATTAATGTACATAAAGCTAACAGATTAAGAAATTTGCTACACCAACAAAAAATATAGAAGGTAAACATCAAGACCTGGAAATATTTTTGAAAGCATGAATGGTGCACAGGCAGATTTTATGCCTTTCCAGTTCAGTCAATTCCATCAGTTTATGGTGCACAGTCAAGTTGCTGTTTTTGATAGCATCATGCTCCACTGTTCTAAGCACTATTTAGGGCACTTTTATCATTGTCAGTTCACAGCCATAATTGAGCTCAAAGAGGTTAAATGCCCACCAAAACGATGTTTTCCATGGCTATATAACAATTTTAGAACCAAAATGTCTCAGTGCTACTTACAGTCTAGTAGAGAATTAAATGTCTAATCCTGCCACTGGAAGGTAAAGCCACAGCAGGAGATTAATGACTCCAACAGATTGTTAAACTTTATAAAGCCTGGCAGTGCAGAGCTGCCTGTAACAAAAGTTTACCAAGGAGCACCTTATTCACCATTTTCCATTTAATGGGTGTTGCAACCCAGCTCCAGTTTGCACCTGCAGAGAGCTCCCAAACAGGCATTAATTCAGTTGAAAGGGATGAAAATAAAGCCTTCTCCACTAAGTTAAGGTGTGTCACCTCCAATATGCTGTGAAATTGAGTTCTGGAGAATAAGGCAGTGACCATTAGGAGCTGCTGCAGTTTGGTGCTAAAGAGAAAGTCTCAGTCAATTCTGCAGAGTTTGTCACAAAGGATCTGACCAAAGAATGGTAAACTTGGGGGATGGGGACAGCAACACCACCAGTGCTGTTTGGCAGATTAAACAGCAAAAAGACTGATATTTGGAACATGTATCACACTTGGATACTCAAACTACAGATCTATGGAATAGATTGATAAAGTAATGATGGAGACAAAGAGAAATCAAATACAGGTAAGAAAGACAGGTAATACTTATTAGAATAATGAAATGGCCTGGATCTTAAAGATCCCAGTTCCAACCTCTCTGCCATGGGCAGGGACACCTTCCACCAGCCCAGGCTGCTCCAAGCCCCAATGTCCAACCTGGCCTTGGGCACTTCCAGGGATCCAGGGGCAGCCACAGCTTCTCTGGGCACCCTGTGCCAGGGCCTGCCCACCCTCTCAGGGAACAATTCCTTCCTAAAATCTAATCTATACCTGCTCTCTTTTAGTTTGAACTTCTCAACATATTTTTCCATGTGTGAGCTTTCCTCTCTCTATAGAGAAGCTGCCATAATCAGGAGAAAGATTTGGGGTGAACTTGCTAACAGAAAGCAAGTTGAAGTGACAATTTTTGACCAAAAATTTGGAAGAGTATAAGAAACACACACAAAGAACATTCCTCCTAGTCATGGGCCACTACAAAGGATTCCTCAAAATGGTTCATGTCCCAAAGCATGGAAGAACCCAGTTCTAAGGTACTTAATCCCCATTGTGCTAAGGTACTTAATCCCC